TTATATTGATTTATATTTACGTGGTGGTGTTTATATTGATTTATATTCACGTGGTGGTATTCAATTATATTGAGTTATATTTACGTGGTGTGCCTTTATGTTGATTTATTTATTCATTTAATTATTTATCGATGCATTTCATTCGTATTTGTTGAATACTAGATCAACATGAATAACGTTATCAACAAAGATCAATCACGTGTAGAGACGAAGATGGAGAAGAATGAGCGGTATCGAAAACAATATCCGCTATTTATGATACCATCATATTCATATGAGGTTATTTTCATAAATAAATATACAACATCTGACACTATGAACAAGTTGATTCAACATGTACGAAATTGTAATGACTTTACTATTGATACCGAAGGTGAACGATCAACAAATGAATTGGCATTAATGCAAATCCAGACTATTCCTCGAAATGCACCATTAGTTGTAATCTTAATAGAAATTATGAATTTGCCATTAAATGACACAATTATTTATGTTAAAATTAAACAATGTCTAGAATTAATTTTCAAATCGGAAAATAATTTATATGGTTGGGGTGAATTGATTGTGGAATTACGTCCAGCTATTAAATATGAAATATTTAATTGGCCGATTAAATCAACAATATATGATATTCAACTTTATTTTCCACAATGGCACAAATGGGCCTTGTCTCATTGTGAGACAAGCAGCATGTCATCATCTCAATCACATGCTGTTGATAGTGATGTTGATGTCAATTCAAGTACAAGTATTAATCTATCATCTCAATGTAATTGTCACGCATCAAGTCCTTATCGTGCTGGAGAGAAATGGAGCTTGCAAGAAGCTTTAGTTCATACAGGTCAGATGTTTCTTGATAAATCAATGACACGTAATCACTGGTCATTAACGTTGGATCCAGATCATTCGATTTTATCAACACGTAAACGAAATCAAATGGTGTTCTATGCAATATATGATTGCTTCACCACAACATATTTAGCTTATCCTGTTCTACAATATTGGACTTTTCAACAGGTAGCTAAAATTAATATTGTTGATTTGTTTCAGACTTCACCATCATCATCATTGCATCATGGATACAACAACATTAAAAATGATACACAAGTTAATAAGCAATTGAAAAAGAATATTATAATTGATGGTGCAGTACTTATATCCGATGATAGTGATCAAAGTGATGAAGAAATATTTCTTAATCGATGTGATAATCAATTTAATAAAAAATTATTAAATGAAAATATTTCAGATGATAATAAAGAAAATGATGATAATTTAGAACAAATATCTGAAGATGATGGTGAAATCTATCTTGGTCAAGTAATTGAACCAAGTACTATTGATGGTGTTGATCCACCATTTGTTGATGGACTTGACGGTGTTGATCCACCATTTGCTGATGGAAATAATAAAATTAATTCAACAGTTGCTCGTCGTGAAACGCAGGGAACGGTTGACATTGCTCAACCAGTTCCTGATCCCATTAGACAACAACACCAGCAACCAAGAAAAAAAACTTTATCAGCTGAAGCAAAGAAAAAGAAAAACAAGAAAAAAAACGATCATCTTCGTCTGCTTCGGTTTCAACATGTTTTAAAAAGGTCATATTATTATCATTTTAGATTGAAATTAATCCGAAAAATAATTCGTTATTATGGTGTATCATTTCGTCATGTCAAATTTCAAGGAGATGAAGTGGTTATCGGTGTAAAATCTGATAAAAATCGTCGACAATATGAAGATATTTTACCATCGTATTGTTTCGACAAGAAAAATTATTGGCGATTCAAGTAATGAACCTTTTTGTTTTTTTCTTTTTGTCTCTTCTTGTTTCTTCTTGTTAGTTTTTTTTGGTGAACTTCTTCATTATTTTTTTTCTTTTTCTTCTCCTCCTCCATTTTCTTTCAAAAAAGTTTTTGTTGTTATCAAAAATCTTTTTTCTGGAGAGGGAAGGATGTTATGATCGTGACATCTATGTTTCTACTTTCGTTATTTCTTTCGTGTTTACTTTCTTTGTTAGTGTTGTGATATAAGTTGTTGGAGAATAAAAAAGAAAGTTAGTTATACCTAACAATACATCGAACACGCCTCTTATTTACATATATATAACATAGGGTATAACAGTCATATACTCAAAATAAGATTTTTATTTGTTCAAAAAATATGAGATAATTACATGTGCTACTTTATTTTTTGATTGATTAAGAATTATTTATAATTGAAATTTCATAGAATTAAGTTTATTATAAATATTATTGATTGTATTCGAATTATTAAACAAATAAATATACAGGAATAGTTGATGAATTTTATCTGTTTATTCCAGTAAAATAAATTATTCATTTTACCATTATTTTTTATTTATGCTTTCTTTCGATTAACCATCAGTACTTGTAAACAAATTTCAATGAAATTCATGTAAGTTATATCCTCAACACATTTTCCTTTCAAATATGATCTCTACAGCAAATATTGAAAATAATAATAAACATCTATACTTCTTCTTCATTAATAAAAATAGAGAAACAAAGATAAATGAAATATCTTCGTTCCACATAAATACCGATTTTCTGCTACATTACTATATTCAACCACTATAATATCACATTAACAGAACTCTGATTTTACCTTCTTTGAATTGTGTTCTTCTTGAACTTATCCATTTAAAAATACTAGAAGAGACAATTGAAAGAGAACGATGCACGTCGTAATGATTGTTTATATTTATCTTATGTAAAATCTCTCTCACATGCTACAATCATGACATATATGCTCGTCTATATAATGATTTTTCTTTTCTGTTGTTAGGGTGTACGTGTGAGCTTTTCTTTCTTATCCATCATCCTCACCCATACCCATTCTTTCTAATGAACTTTTCATTGAAACTTGATCTTAATAACTACTATTGATACAATTATTGTTTTTTTCAAATCTTAATTATTGTTTTCAATGTTTAGTTGTCGGCTAAAGTCAATCATTTGATCTTATCTTTGAATATCATAAGACAAATCGATGTCATTCATTGAAACTTTCTGATAATATAAATATACCTAGATAAGTCAAATATTTCTTTGAAAATTATTTTCTTTTTGATAATTAATTTCAGTTAAAATCATTATCTATTATTAAAATCCAACTGTTTAATCAATATCCATTATTATTTCAACTTCCATTTCTTAAAAATCTTGTATTATATCAAATAGAAACTATATGTAGAAATAGTATGTCATATTTTGATCTTCCACAATTAAAAAAACTTATTTTTAGTTCATGTATCAATACAAACTACCTTAAAATAACTATGAATAATTGGTTTCTTTAGAATTTTTCTTAAATTCAAGCTATTAAATATACAATAATAAACTGTTGCTCAAAAAACAAAATATTAAAACATCTTAAGAGGATTTTTACAGATGATAAAGATCGTTTATTAATTCAACAGTCACTTATTGGTTTATTCCTAATCGTCAATTATGAGAACAAATCATTGTTTTATCATTTTTATTATTAAATAATTTTCAATTTTACTTTCAATTTAAATGTAATAATTATCATTTAATCAAGTAAAACAAATCAATAAATCATTTTCTATATCATTCTATATACGTGAAATGTATTGATTTGTTCGTTTAGGCATATTTGTAAATTATGTATAACAAACATGGCAATCTTGTTATTCTTTATACAATACTATATCCGTTTCAAACATTTACAATTTCAAAAAAATCTTCGAAAATATCATTTTCAAATTGGTCAATAAATACTCTTAATGGTCAAAGTATTAATATTGAAAATTTGTACAATATTTGATGAAAATGTTAATAAAAATAATATGATGAGTTTAATAAATTAAAACATTTAACTATTGAAAATTTTAATATTTTATTTTAAAAAAAGTATGGTGAAACAATTAACAGATAATTAGACGAATATATGTATATGTATAAATATCTATCAGAAAAAATTTCTTCATTAATTTTTCATTCATATAAAAAATTATTATTATCTTTTAATACAAATGAACTTAACAAAACGTTGCCAATTTTGTTGTTCAAAATGTTAACATTTATCGCTAGGTATTAATTCACGAAAAAATCATGCCATTCATTTTGTTTTATGTAAAATGCTTCATTTAAATGATTTACATTTTTATATTCAACAATATAATTCTTCACTATCAAGTATCGAATCGTTAAAACAACAACAACATACTTGATTTAATCGTTCAAATTCTATTATTATTAGTGAAACACGTTATCATTAATTTTGGTTAGGATAATATCGATCATACAAAAACATATATTTCTATATCAATAATTTTATTAACAAATCATCAATAGAAGAAATATTTCGACTTCTTTCCGGACATTAGAACTATTAACTATATATGAATAATAATATAGATTTTGATGATAGACGAGGAAATAAATACAATACACACATCCTTAGCAGCATCTTAAGGATGTCAGAATTGTATTTATTTCATACTCTTACTCACAACCGAATATATGTATGTATAAACGAATATCATATTCAATCTTCATTCTCATAGTTTTAAGCATAATAAAATAAAATAAACAAACGTTTTTAGATTACATAAATATTTATTTGATTTAGAAATCTATAAAAAAAAAGAAAAGGATTGTCTATAGTATGATGTATATCTTGTCACAATAATGAATTCCCATCGATTAATAGCAAAAACTATTAAAATAGATCGGATCAATTATCTTAAAACCACTATCTACCAAAGTTCTATGAATGATTTATGAGAAAAAAACATTTTTATAGATATCGTGTATATTGCAGTAAAGATCGCGTATCTAGAAATAGAAATAGAATATTTTCATCAAATCTCTCATCATAAGAAATTGATGAAGCTCATGGAGATGAAGATTTTAACAAAAATAATATTGAATATACTCAATACATCATAATGTTCAAGGTAACATACGATAAAAAGGTGATCGATGAGTCATCAATATACGAGTATTCTATTGATAACGGCTTCATTTGCTGAATTAACTGGAATATTTTTTCTTTCATGAAAATCATCATCAGAACAAGTTCTAAGAAATTGTATGAGAAAAATAATTTATCAAGATTTATCTTTTTAATGTTAATATTTTAATGATGTTTGCTCTCTTTTGATTAATGTGCATCATATATTTATCGTCCTTCTCACCAATATCATTTGTTTACGTATTAGATTTTATGTGTAAAGGTAAAAAAATACGAAATATTTTTCTTATTGGTCGTTGTTTTTTCTGGATGCAAAAAAAAATATAATTATGACAAGATTTTGTGCGTATAGATAAAGAGAATAAGAAAAATCAGAGTGAATAATTTCTCATTCTGTCACCAATATACACGAATAAAATATTTTTTTTATCACCAGACGTTTTAAATATTAAATTATGAGTAAAACAGAATAGTTTCGATCACCACATATTTTTAGATACAAATAATCACACAAAAAAAGACACTTTCGATGAACAGATTTCTGTAAAAATATGTTGTTTCATCATCTAATACTCAAATATCATCTTCAACTTGATTAGTTATCTATATTTCTTGTCGTTAGATACATTTAATGATATTTTCATGTGATAATAACCTTGCTGATAGATTGTCTCATTAGAATGATGTTCTTCCTCGGTTGGACTGAAAATCTACTCTTATAAATATTCAGTTCGTTTATTATGACACGTGTTGAACTATTAGATACACAAAAAAAAGGAAAGAACGTCCCAAGAAATTTATTATCTTTATCATTTCAACCATCATTTTTTTTTCGGAGAAATAAATATATCAGATGGTTATGAAAAATCTGGGGATCAAAAATATCTTTTTTGAATGACTATTTCTATCTAAACTATACTTCTATTGGTCATTATTTGTATTCTAAATTGTGTGATGATCAGAATAATTGTCGCACGATGTATCTGTTCTTCTTCAATGTACTTTGATGTTTTCGTAATAAAATAAGAAGAAAACAAATGAAGAGATTTTCTTGTTGATGTTTAAGTAGAATTGATTAAATAATTCACTTGATAAATCTTTTCTCAATCGAATATTTCATTTTCCTAATAAATTCTTTTTCAAATCGAAAAAAATATTGGAAAAAAATTTTTCTTTAAATTTATTTTTTGATACTCAAAAAGAAAAGAAATTATACTTTGAAATAAAAATCAAGTTTGAAACAAGTGAAATGCATCATCGACAACGTAAAATATTCATAGTCAGTGTGTTGTTTCGTTTTTGTTTTTTTCTTAGGACGTTAATTACGTAGGCAAAAAAATGTATTTTTATATACGATTGACGTGAAAGCAATGAAAATATCTGATTAGTTCGTTTGCTATTTACCTTTACTATATATAATTATAAAACTCAGTTTCTACTCTTTAATCTTAGTATTACTTACAAGATTTTCATCAAACATACATATTTTATCAATTTTTCGAAAGAAAACAACTCTTTATTGGACAATTCAAAGAAAAATGTAAGTTAAACAAAGATTTTCTCATCTGACTCGTAGAGAAATGAAATAAATCTCTATTAACTTGTTATTAATGATACCAAAGAGATTTATCTAGGTAAAAAGAAACGTTTTCTCTTTGAAGATTATTCAACAATTTTAGTTTAAAGAAATATTAAATAACTCTTTCTTAAATAAAATCTATATTAGGAAATTTTATTTACTACTAATATGGCCTATAAATTCTTTTCTTTATCGAAAAAATGAAATTAACTTTCAAATAGAATATAGTTTCCTCAGTTCATAAGAGAAAATTATCAACGAAAATAATTCATTCATAATCATAAAGAAAAATTCTTTCAAATTTAACATTTGTTTAATGAAAAACATTTTAGAGAAAATTTAAATGATTTGACAAATTACAATATTTTCAAAAGAAATTCTCAAACACGAGACGTTTCTTTAGACAGATGAAAAGATTCGAGTTCATAAAAAAATTGCAATGCAATATCTTCTGTCAGTTGAGATTTTTTCAAATAAATTTTTTTTTTAAAAAAACGAAAAAAATATTTGTTTTACAGTATTACAGAAAATTCTCTCTGCAGAAATATCTCAATCCACAAAAATTCATTTCAAAGAAAAACAGGTGTCTTTTATACTGTACAAACAGCAACTCGGAGAGAAAAAAATAAAGACAAGAAGATCGATAATATGTATATATTCTCTCTTTCTTTGTATGAAGTTAACTTTAGATAAAGAAGATCACATCCTCTTCTTTATTGATTACGTAGCAAAAGAAAACGAATATAAAACTTCAATAATTCTCAAGGACAGACAGAGAACGAAAAAAAAAGAAGAGAGAAAAGAGAATGACCTAGGTATATATATATGTATATATATCCACAGAAAGAAAGAAAGAAAAAAAGAAAAAAAGAGGAATAGGTGAGATGTGCACACATAGATGATAAAAAGAAAATATACACATGTGACTGCACAACGTGGGAAAGAGAAGGACAAAAAAGTATTAAATTGCTTTCTAACATACAAGATTTAAAAAAAGTTAATGATCAAATCTTTTCTCGTTTCTCTTTACCATTTCATCGAAGCTTGTCGAGAAATTTGTTGGAAAATTCTAGATGAATATATTGAATTTGAATATCGTCGAACGATCTTTGATATAATTATCAGTTTACATAGACTGAAATAGAACAATTCGTTTTTTTTAGAAAATGCAACCAATTCGAAATTTTTATTACGATTTTTTCTTTGGTTAGATAGAACTTACCGAATTGTACACGAATATCTATCTAAATAAAGTTTATAGAAAACTATACGAAGAAATTGAGATAGTTAAAGAAAATAAAATGATACATGGACTAGTTCACATAACGCGACTCTTTGCTGATTAAATTTTATAAAAACTTATTTTCGAGTTGAACTAATTTAAAATTTTTAACAAAGAAAGTTTTGAAACAAAATGCCCTGAGGCATCCCATTCGATACAGAATTTCATTCTTTACAAAATGGATTATTTAGCTTTGACTTTGGTAACTGAAAACATCTCATGGATTCTTATATAGTTTCTCACTTACTGTTCACTTTTTGAGCTTTCATGTCTATGAATCAATTTGATTCTTTCGCAGAATGCTTAGCTACAAGGAAAAGATTAATCCTCACAACTATGTTAAATAACTTAAAAACAGTAGACAAAAGAACTGTCACACCATTACGTCTGGACAGGCCGATTTCTCGTCATTATATTCCTATGAAATTCGATTTAGATTTAAATAATCTTCTCATTTTCAATCACACTGATCTAGATTAGTTTAATCAACAGATCTCATTTAAAATCTCTCTCAGTATTTTACCGTATCAATCAACAAGTGTTAATAATAAAAACAAAGAATTATCTTGGAAAAAATCTGAACAATAATCAAAAGTTGATCGTTTATATCTACAAATTCGAATGCAAACTGTAAAATATTATATTAATTGTTGATATGACAGATTTGTTTGTATAGCTTTTTTTAATTAGTTCGCTAATTTCACGTGTTGACAAATTCTCGATAGAAAGATCAGAACAGTTGTTTTGCTTGATATTTAATCGAGAGTGTTACAGTATTAAAGATATTTCATTGAAAAAGTGTTAAGAAATATTTTCAACGAAAAGATTTCTTTTCTTTTTAGATAAAAACCTTTCTCTAATAAAAAAAAAAGGTTATGGAAGACGTTCAACCAACTGTAGCCAAACATCATCAATCATCTTCATCATTAATTATCTCATCTGTACAGAATTGCTCTCTAACTCAAGATGAAGAAGATAATTCTCAAATACAAGTCGACAGGTTAGTTTCAAATCTTCATTGAAAGTGATCTTAATCTAAGCAACGGACGAGAACGATTTGTGAAGTTATTTTCAAATGAAATGATATTTTTTTGAAAGAAGTATTTCTCATTCGACAAATTAATTAAATAGATAAAATATTTCTTTCCTTAAGATTGTTTGATAAAACCTTTCAGAATTGGTTCCTTATCAATTAGAAATGAAAATTGATCAATATAGTCAAAAATGAATATTTAAATCATTTTCAATAGCCTTCTATAAATAAACAGATAAGAAGGAGAAAACAAAAATAACCATAAGACATGACCGTTGTTTTTCGTTCGTTTATTGAAGTGAGTCCGTATTCATATGCAGCAGAACGAAAGAAAACTTTAACGAAAATTTTTGTCTCGTAGATATAAACGACAGAACGAATAAAATCATTGATGAGTCATCAAGATTTTTTTATTTCGGAATATTTTACTCGTTCTCATTGATATTTCGATGAAATAAAATGAAATCTTCTAATATAATAACTGATTAGATTTGTTCAATCAAATAGGTTCATCTTACTCGAAAAAAATTTGCACTTTTTCAGCATTATTAAAATATGTGTACATATAGATAAACTTTTTAAATCTCTTCTTCTTCTTCTTAATATCAGAAATAGTTGTGCACACAGATAGATATCGTTCAAAAGATCATTTATTAATATGAAATGAAAGAAACAAGAAAATAAATTCTTTGCAATATTATCTTCAATGAATAAGATGCTTTTATTAAATTTAACAGTAGGAACAAAATTTTTTTCTCATCATTCTAGAAACAACAAATCACACAATACAACAAATGAAGACTCCTTTTTGACAACATGGACCAAATCAGATTTTGATAAGTATCTAACTGAACTTTCACAAATATTTGAAGGGCAATCTTCTCAGACTGATACATCAATGGAATTTTTAAGCATGTTTAATGATATTGAAACAGATAATGAACAGGTTTACTCAGTTGAAGATCTCATCAACACAAGTGATCAAATATCAACAGCGATCTCGTCAACATCTGCGCAAAATGAAGAACTAACTGGTACTGTCGACGAATATCAAGTGAGATCATTAGTAAGTTATTATGTTTGTAGTCATTTTAGAAACGGAGATTAGTTAGAAAATATGTCATTTTCATTAAAATTTCTTGTCAATCATTCTGTTTGAATGCTCTTTCAATGAAAATAATTACAAACTTAGGCAAACATGTCTATCGAAGAGATATAAATTTATACAAGAATAACACGTGAGTAGTTCAGCAGCATTAGTGACAAATCATTTTCATGTTGAAAGTTCTTCAAATTAATATGATTTACATAGTAATTCAATGTTCCACCTTGATAACAATTTCTTTTATTCTATTTAGAATTCTTTATCTTCACCGTCAATTACAACAGATACAATAACATCAGAAATGTCCATAAAGAACAATTTGAAGAAAAGAAAAAGAGACCTAATCAAAAATCGCAAGAAAACCCTTGTTGTAACAGGATTACGTGCTGATATAAATCAAGCTGATCTATCTAATTATTTTCTTGGATCTGTTCAAGTCATAATGAAACAATGTCAAACATCGTCTTTCAAGTATTGTTCTATCCTCAATAATATTCTTACATATGAGCATCTTTTGTTTAGATATGCGTTTATTTTACATGGAACAGCCGAGGAAGCTAAACACAATTTTAATCAACCTATTGATTATATTCGTCTTGGTCCGGAATGTCTTGTCAAATATGCCGGTTATTCTTCCCCCCTTCCTGTGAATCATCAATCGTACGATAAACAAACAATTGCTGTTACAAATATACCAGAAAATGTCAGCGAAGATGATTTGCGTCATTTATTTCCCAACTCGCGTATATTAAATTATTGTCCAGTACGGACTGTTGAGCGTAAAACCGTCCCCACTGGAAGTTCCAACAAAATGAAGATTTTATGGGGGTAAGAATTATACTCTAATTTCATCTTTTATCATTTTATTATTTCATTTTTTTACATCGAAATGTAGAAGACAAACATTTTACCCTTCCTCTACAAAACGAAGTTTCTCCTTGTTATTCTTCTTGTTATATTTGAAAAGGTGTTGACACTTATGAACAATAATACTTAATCTGACTTTCTTCCTAAAATGTCTTATACATTACAAATAGATGAAAAGTTGAGTTCGATTAGTATAAAATAGAGAGACAGAGTTAAATGTAATTCTATTTAACAGAATTCACTATTGTCAAAGAGCAATAATTGTATTATATGAAGAAAAGAAAAGACTAAAATCATCGAGTAGAAATGAGTGTTTCTTTTAAGTTCGAATTAAAATCCATTCATAAGAATTGTCAACAGTATTTAATATGAATCAACCTTTGAGATTCATCTCACGTAGATTTTGGGCATTCTAACATCAATTAATATCGATAAGTTCATTTGAGAAGATTATTGTATCGTCTTTCATATATAGTTTGTGTTTAGTCTATCTAATAAATAATTGAAAAAAATATTTAAGAATAATACATTAAACTGAAGTGGATATCTCAATTGTTATTTATTTTTTTGAATTTAGATATGCGTTTCTTCATTATAACACTGTTCAACAAGTTGCCGATGTTATCGAAAATGCTCAACAATACAAGATCAATGATCGAACATTATGTGTTGCTTTTTATTCTAAGAACAATCAATTACAATCAATTACAAAATAATTGATTGTTGAACACTTGTATAATTTCAAATGAATAAATATCTGTTGTCATTGCACATGGCGCAAAAAAAGAAGAAGATGTTTAAGTATCTACCACATCTTTATATATATATGAGAGAGAGTGTGAGTGTGAGTGAGTGGAATGAAGTTATGTTTATCACCCACACCCTCAAGATGGCATAAACAACCATACAAGATTGCATATTGTAGTAATATATGATTAATTTCTTCCAATGAATAACAAGTATATACGAAAATGACGAATTGAAAAGTTAGTTTTATTTCAAAAAAAGCAAGAAAAATAGTATCATTCATGAAAAAGAAATATTTATCTAAATTTCGACATACAATATTCACAAATAATGAGATCATATTTGTATCATTGAATTATATTATATTGTCTACATTTATAAAAAAAAGTAAAGAAAAGAAGAATAATGCTAGTTGCTGTTTTGGAATTCATCAAACTGTTCGTGAGAAATGTTAAAGCAGCAGAAAAAACTAAAAATAAATCAATCAGTTATTATCGATGGTTCGTGAATATCCGAACGACATATAGGACAAATATCTAATTTCGCAGCACATTTTTCACAAAAACCAGTATGTTGACAAGGTTTAAGTAATATATTAGCTTGTTCACTTATTTTAATTGCACATAATAATTCAAGTTTTTTATATTTTGGTAAAATGAGTTTTTCGTCATCTGATAAATGACCATACTCATTGAATGCTTTAAATGAACATACATTTTTTAGTGGATAACGAAATAGAGTTGAACTAAAATTAAAACGATAATGTTGACAAGACATAAAACTTGCTGCAGCAAAATATCCATCAGTGATAGGATCTAATGGGGATGAAAATAATTTACGAAATGGATCAAGTGAATGACCATTTAATGAAAATATAACTTCACGTCGATCAAAATCAATTAAACAACCTATAGAAAAAAAAATTAAAAATGAGCTCTTAATATATATATTCACGATTTTTCTCTCCAATGACATGTGACGATTCAACTGTAACCAAAATCAGTTTTGAATTTACAGGTACATGTTGATAAATGTTTGATATATATCTAATCTCAATCTTCCTATGATTTCTTAAACTCAACAGTAATCTTTGTTCGAAAGATCATGTACATCTTATAAACGATTTACTAGGAAACAGTATTATATAAGAAAAGCTCTAGGTGTACATAACGGATCCGTTCAGTATGATTCTATTTCTTAACTAAAATCTTACCAACAATATCACCAGGTTTCCAAATTGGATTATTATGAGGTATAGATTTTGCTCCAAACCAAACTAAATTTCGACATCCATCATATGTTATAGAATATTGATCATCTCCAATATCATAACCTTCATGATTCATAAGTTTTGATTGTTTTATAGCCACGGTTCTCCACTTATAGCGCTACAATTATCCTGAATACCAAAGAGTTGATTGAGCGAAAATTGTAGTCTATGTTATTTTCTATCGAATGAGCCAGTCTCGTACTCAAATAGTCAATCTAGTCGTGAGTTAATGTCAGAATACTGAGCACATCTATTTTCGTCGGTTTTTAAGAATCGAAAAAGACCCTTTCAAACTTGTTTTTGCTCGCATTTTCCATAGAAATAACTAAATTAGTTCATATCGTGGATTTGACTTTCGTTCGATAAATGCTTTCATTTAAAAATCTTAAGATAATGTAAAACAAAGGGTTTTGCTTCGTGCTATGCGATTAGAAATATATATGAGCTTATATTTTATCTAAGATTTGGAATAATAAATTACTTACAGTTGTTTGATTGACGTTAGGAATAACACTGTATCATTCATCTAGTAATAAGTATTATTTCTCAAGATCAGAAGTATTGTGCAATTCAAATATTAATCTAAATTTACCAACCGAAAATCGAGAAAAAAAGCAGGTATGCAGTTCAATTGAACTGTGTTCTCACCTTTTACCGGCATCGAATCCAAGTGATCATTCGTAAACTCCTTTGAATAAGAATTTGTGAATCTTAAAATATTGATTAAGCCACAACGTGATATTATTTTACAGAACAAGTCAACAAAATTATATACGAAATATAATGGCCTTACCTGCTCCACGTATCGATTTCTTACATGAACGAAAAAGAAAAAATCAATCAAGCATAAATATGTAACCAAATAAGAGCTAGTAGCGTTTATAATATTCTTATATCTATCGTTACATTATACGATAGAAAGCCATGTGTAGATAAATGAAAATTTTTTTTGCTCGTTGTGTGTAATGATGAAGTGCGCAAAGTGCGGATATTATAAAACAGAAACGCATTTTTCGTTTTATATATATCTTCGGATGATGATTTCAAACTTCAAAAATCGCTGGTACCAGTGGTATAGCTTGAAGAAATTTGTCACAAATTGATGCAAAAAAAGAAGTATTATTTCAGTCAGGAAATCGACAGAATTTTATAGAACTCACCATTTCCTAATCGGCTTCTCCGACCTAGAATATAACTGAATAAAGTTCTAAAATACGTATCACAATGTGTGTTTCGTCTTTTTTCAGAAATTTTACACAATAAACTCTCGTTTTCTTGTTACTCTCATATGATTGATTTTTCACAGAAGTGTAACTACGTTACATTCAATAAAAATCTTACCATTTTTGTTTCGGTAACAGCTTCATCATGTGGTGCAAACTGTGATTCTGTTAAAATTTGAAAATACTAATATTGTCTATTAGAGTTTTAATATCTTATTCGAATAATGTCCACTCATATTCGCACAAGAACCTGTTTCAAAAGTTCCACTAATATTTCAAGCATAACTTAAAGAGTTCTATCCAATAATGTGCATAGATATATGATGTCTTAAATTTTGACTTTTATATTCTTCACGACACCCTTGCCACAGTGCACGTATGAATATGAGGCAGTTGTACTCGAATAGGATGGCTAAATTCCAAGAAAAACTATCAATATTTTCAGATTTTTAAAATCAAAGTTTGCACGGGTAGAAAATGTGAGCCTATTATTACATAGATCTGATTGGACCCCACATCGAACAGATCAGACACAATTATTGGAACGACTTTCAGAAGGTTTGAGTGGAGTTTAATACTAACTTCACTTTTATGATATTTTCGTAGAATACTTCGAAAAATGTGTTCATGATATGTATTTTCGATTGACAAACGATTCATTCCATTCTGGACTGACGGAACAGCAACTAAGATATAGTTTAATATTATTCTAAGAGCAGATTTACCTGTGATTGTTTGTCTTTTTATTTGTAAATAAGTCTTTAAGTATTACATTGAACGACACTAGCGATTATTTATGTTCTCTTTCTATTCCTCTGTCGTCTTCTTTCCCCTTATACATGCACTCTCAGTTGATGAGAGAAGAACAGGCAATCTACTCACATTCATCTCAAATCAATAAGTGTATCATAGTTGTATTGACTTATAAATAGACTTTCGATTTCGCAGATGGGTTAATTAAAAAAAACCTTGAATATCATTTTTTATTTTTTCAAGATCTTGTCAAAATACATCATTTCGAACACATTATTTCCAGCTTTAGTTTATCAAATACAAATTCTACTACAACTCGTAAATATTTGTTTATAAACGATATATGACACAATAAATAATTATTTAATGTACAATATGAGTTTTTGAAAATTAATCATAGTTTTACACATAAATTCCATTCGATTTTAATGTTAAAAGTGATGTAAAATATTGTTGTGCCTCATGGATAATTCGAATAGAAGGGCCATATGGTATACCGAGACCTTGTAATTTTCTTTCATCTATAAATGGTAATTCACAGAAATCGATTTTTTCTTGTTCAAGTATTGAGCTATATTCATCATAATGTAATAAACTAAGAAAATAACGAAGCATTTCTTCTCTACCAAAAAATCTAAATGATAATTCATTTGATAAACAAAATAAAAACGATTCTCTTTTTTTTACTGTTCAATTTTTCGTGCTTGTCTTGGATGAATAATTGAATTTGAAGGTTGATAAGATGTAGAAATATTTATGGGATTTATATTATTAATAGCAGCAAGATGTTGAATATTAGCTGTTATTAAGTGTGATATTTGTACATTTGTAGGTATCGAAGATTTTTGTTGAGATAATTGTTGACGAAGTTCAGCAATCTCTTCATGTAAACGAGAGAGATCATCTTTAATAACACGTTGCATTTGAACTTGTGTAGATAATTTCGCGATTGATTCTGCTAATGTTATTATTGATGATTCAAGTCTAGTGAAACGTTGATTAATTTCTCTGAACATAAACAAATCGAAATATTTTATTAAACAAAAAAAGAAAAAGATTTCATACTTTATATCAATATTAGACTGACGCTGTACTATAACAGGCATTACTTTTCGAAAACGATGTTTTCGTCCATTATGTTCAGTTTCAGAAGGTGTATTAGATTTTGTACTAGTTTTTATTGTTTCAATATCATTCTCAAATAATTTTAATAAATCATTATACATGGTTTGAAGATCTAGAAAATATTAATAAAATAAAAATAATAATATTTCTGAATATTTTTCATTTTTTAACAAACTATTCAATTGTTTTCTCATTTGTCCAAATTCTTTTGAACTTAAACTTGAACTTTGTGTTATATTTGGTGTTGATGTACGAATATTTGCATATCTACGTAATTTAATATCACTAAATTCACTTGTTAAATCAGACCATACATCACTTGTAGCATCACTTGGTAAAAGATCATTTTGATGTGCTATATCTATATGTATACAAAAATTTCAATTTAAAACAATGAAATAAATTATTCTTACCATATTCTTTACTTTGAGTTTCAGTGACAGTTATTTCTGAATCTGAATCATCACCATAGTTTTTCAATCGACCAGAAGGTCGATGATTTTTAGTATTTTTACGTGTAACTAAAGTTCCGGTACCTGTTCGAATTGAATTTTTATTTCGCGATTTCTTCCACATAGGATTTGATGGTGATGATGGTGGTGCAGATAAAATTGGTGGATTATACATCAAATCTTGTTGTTTAGATGCCGATATATTATCATTATCATTCTTATGTGTCCTTTCAACAGTTAATAATTGTGTATGAATATGATCTCGATCTATATAAGCTTCATTAAGAGGATCTTTTATTATCGGTGAATTTATTCGTTGATATTGAACAGTAATATTTGGTTGTAGATCAATAATTTGTTGAGATTTTATTGGTGATGGTGATGTTATTCGTTTGACTTCATTGGTTGGTTCAACTTGTATACGATGATGATTTGTATATATTTCACCTGAATTAAAATTTAAAAATGAAAATAATTTATATATATTTATTATTTGAATATACCAGTTACAATTGGTTCAGATATATTCGGTAATTGATCAGTATTCTGTTGTACAGTACTTTGCATTTGTGGATGTACACTTACTTCTGTTAATGTTCGATATCGTTTGTCAATAGGTGGTGCATATGGTGGAGCTGGTGATTGTTGACGAGATTTTACTTTTTGATGATTGATATCAGTTTTATCAGTCTAATAAATAATTATAGAAAAAAAATTTAATATTCTTTTCCTTTTGTATTACTTTTGATTTTTTAGGATGTTCATCGAGTGCAACATTATTAAAATTGAATTTATCGAGTTCATTCAAGTCAGTACCATGATTTTTTGATGAAGTACGTAATGGTGTTCTCGAACGAATATTTGTATGTTCATTCGTTTTTACTTCATTTAGTGTTGTCGTTGATCGATGTACAACGGGTAGACTAGTTCCAGTTGAAGTTCGATTCGATGAATTATTCGGTGGTAAAACATTTGAGAGAAATATTTTTGTCGGTCGTCTTGTTGTAAGTTCAGGTGGTAAAGGTCTATTTTTATCACTAGGAAGTTGATAATAGTAATTTGAAGATGTTGTTGTACCAGTATTTTGATATGTTGTAACAGGACGAGAAGATGATGGTTCAGTATAGATTGTTGATGAACGAGCATTTGTTACATCAGAATGTAATGGTTCTTGACGTAGTTTATTAAATGTTCGTGTCAAGGCAATATTTACATTTTGTATTGTTGCTTCTGTTTGTGAACGAGTAAAATTATTTGTCTGAAAATAAATATTCATATAAGTTTAAAGGTCATTTTAAAATAGTTTACATGAGAAGATGATTGTCGACGACCGTCTCTAAAAATATAAATTTAAAAGAAGCAGAAGAAAATTGTTTACTTACAATTGTGAATTGACTAGTTGATGTGTGCTAAGGAATTCTTTAACAGGTTTAAATGATCGTTGATGCGTTTTTGATTGAATATGATTCGATGGCTAAGAATAAATCAAATGAATATTGAATATTTGTTTTTCTTCTTCTTACAGAATGTGATCGTAAATAATTCTCATCATGTTTAACACCAAATGATGTTAATGGTGTACCTTTATTAAATACACTTTGATATCGTTTTGGTACTGAACCAGGTGAATTTGTAGATGGATGTTCAATATCTAATGTTTGTTTAGTTCTTCGATTTTCTTTTTTCTTAAATAAATAAAACCAATGAAAATATTTCTAATTGTTTTATTTTCGTACCGGAAATATATGTATATCATTTTTTTTCGTTCTCATTTATCGTTAAACAAAATTTTATCAAGAAAGAAAGTGATGTGAAATCGATAAATTTTATATACGTCGAAGAAATTTATGAATATGTTTATATAAGATACTTAAAAATGAAAGTTGATGAAAAGAAAAAAATTCAATAAAAAAAAGTAACACTTGGTCAAATATTTCTTACTAAAATTCTTTTTTTCATTTCTCTATACCTTATACTTGTGAAGATCAATGTTAATCGGTTGAATTATAGTAGCCATTAATTTAACTGTACGATTTTTCTATAGAATAAAATATTATTTTTCATATTTATTTGTAATAAACGTAAAATTGACAGCATGCTTGGAACTAAAACAAATAAAAAATGTCGCTTGACTCTTAGAGAACACGATTAACATGCAAATCAACGAAACGAACGAATTCTTTTTTTTTTATTATAAAACTATTTTATCGTTGCTCATATATACAAGAAAGAACGAAAGAAGAGAAATTATTACATTTTTTATTCGAAATATATGTGTTTTTGACATCTTTTTTAAGATTTGAATAACAACAGAAAAATATGTAGATGAAAAAAAATAATTATAATATTTATTTATAATGTTGCCTTTGTAATTTATGAGGATTCAATATTGATCTCTGTCTTTATAAAGATATTGAAGTTAAATTAGCATAATTTAAATTAATATTGAAGAAAGATATTGTTTAAATAACTTCGAATTGATTATGTAGGATTCACATTAGATATGTACGATACTGTGTTTATAAAAGCATAGGCATTTACATTTGTGTAAAATTTTCGATTTTTCAAAAATGTACAAAGTGCGTATTTTATACACAACAGACTCGTTCTTTTTGTATATATTATAATATTTATCACGTATTTTATACTTTGATCTATGAGAAAATAATTTCTTTTGTTCGGAGAACAGAGTCTAATTCGATCCTGACTAATAGTATATGTATTAATATGAAAGTATTCAAATGATTGCTAATCCTATAGAATCAAACAAATGCTTAAATAAATATTCATGTATAGTTATTAGGGCTTCCAGTAATTAGTACGTATAAAGTTGGATTCGACTAAGGTAGGTTCAGTTTTTTAGCATTAAAATATATGTAATATTCTCTTTTTGTTACTTCCAAAACCTTTTGATTTGAATCAATTGAGCATTGTTTTTTACGTTAGATATCGGTCGATCGTGATATAATAAACATAACATTCTTTCAAAATAAGTAACTATATAACGATAATTTTTCAGTTCCGATCTATAAGCAAATTAATTTTGCATTTCTCCATTATTTATATATATGATGCCGTAGTATTCTTCTATTATTATTCGATCCTGTTGTTAATATTTCCTAAGCTATGTTATTATAAAATTCAAAAAAAAAAGAAGCAGCGCTATGTCTGCTTCTTCAAGTACTTCTTTTATTGCTGAATGGAAGCGCTAGAAGTAACCAACCTTCTCTTCTATTAAATACTTTTCACTTGTTTAGATAATACAATCGATATTATCATACCTTAATTTATTCAAGGAATACATTTTTATTCTAGTCACTATTAAACTTGTTCGCTTATGTATATTTCTCGTCAAGATATTTATTTTCTTTAGTCAAAATAATTATTCAACAGAATAAAAAAAAGTAAGATTAGTTATTTAAAGCATAAAAGCCAAGTCTTTATTTTCTTCCCCAACACCACAATACAATGAACCATAACGATTTGTTTCAGGTATATGAAAAAATGCCATACCAGGCCATTTAAGACTTCGAATTTGAACTAATCCACTGCCGCGTTCAAATTGTACACTCCATCCTAAAAATTGTTACGTATTAGAAATATAGACGTGAAATTCTATATTTACAAACATACCTTTGGGAATATCTTCATCAATTGTATCAAGAAAATGAAGACTTTTATCAAGTGCACTTCGATGAATAAGACCTTTTTTAGGAAGATGAATAGGTTCACAAAAATGAAAATAATTTGATAATTTGCCACTTTCTGTTGCTGTTAATCCTAAAAGATTTTCATTAAAAATTATTTTAATTAAAAAATATCATTCTTTTTTCCATACCTGCGAATGTACGATTTCGTTCAACATCACCATTTGGTTGAAGAATATATGCGCCTCGTGGAATAATCAATGCATCTTGTTCAATTTTCGATAATGTAGCAGCTAATCGATCTTCTTCACGTACTGATGACTAAAAAAATTATTATTATTTTAGAAAAAACAAAATTCTGCAATTAAATATTTACTTTAACTTCTTCAATATTTTCATCTTCGGTATCTTCATTTGTTATATTGTATTTTGTTACTTCAAAATCATTTGATGGATCACCTGTAAAACGTCCTTGACAAACTTCTGTTGAGTCTTTTGCTTCATCATTTGCTGGTGTTAACATATTCCAATTAACACAATCTTTACTTTAAATTTTATAAAAATAAAACTCATTGATGATAGATACTTCGTATTTATGAATGAAATTACCTGTAGAGAAATTGTCGATCTCTAAGTTCATCTTTTTGTCGGCCTTGAATAATAAAATAATCATCTGTTATGCCTAAGATTTTACCCCAAAAATGAATTGTTTTAAATTTGTATTGTTCTTTAAGAATGATAAGAGATGTTTGTAATGAAGCACGTTGTTCAGGACTAAAAGCAATGCCACTGAATGCAAGTAGATCAAGATCAAGAGTAAAATCTTTTGCTTCGATACCCATCTTCTCAAATATGTAATTGATGTTATTTTGCTAAATGTAGATCTTGGATATAAAATGCACAACAAATTCATTTAGAAAATGCGTTACTATCGAAACCACCGTCATTTATTTTATTGAGACTAAATGCAAAAAAAAGAGGTCGCTTCTTTTAAAGCAATTACAATACATATATCAATAACCATTTGCTTTATAAATACATTAGAACTACTAAACATTCTCTATTGTACTGATCGATATTTACTAATAGAGATTTCAACATTCAAGTCTAAGTCATGTGCTAATAGAAAGAAATTTGTTTCAGTTTCTCCCATAGTATTAGAACTAACTACATTTAACAAAAATAAATAGCTGAATTACAATTTATTATTTACATGTATTCCTAGAATAATATGAAAACTTTCAAGACATGAGACACCGTGGCATATATTATTAAAATGAAAATTTTGTCATCCAAATTTATTTATATCATCAATAACAAATAAAAACTTATGTAAAGTTCTAAAAAATAAAATGATGAACAATATTCATAAGTCGCTGTAGAAGTACGTGTGGACCAAAGAAGAAAGTCGGCATATTAGCGTCATCGATTGGTACTCTAATTGGTTTAGCTATCAGTAGTATTCCTTTAGCAGTAATGCCAAACAGAGTAGGTTTTATATAGAATAATCATCCAACAGTGTAACGAATACAGGATCATGTGGATGTAAGATTTTTCTTTGTCTATTGATGATAACGATAAGATGAGTCTTTGTTGTTTAGCAAGTGGAGAAAATACTGCTAGTTTACCTTCTCAATGTAATTCATATTCAACAGGCTATTGTTACTCAAGATATTGTACAACATAAACTGTACTTCAAATTCAAAATAATTAAATCAATTTAATTTTTGAATAAAAATTATTTGTATAAACGATATTTCATATATTTTTATATATCATATTTGATTATCGTGTAATATAATATTTATATTTTTGATTTCCTGATTACCCGACATGATTAGAAAAGGTTGAATTTGAACGACATCTCTCAAAATAAATTTGATTGAATTAGTGGTAGACTAATATAATTCATCTAATGGCTTGTCATTCCAAGCCATGTCGTTTTCTTAGTTTTGTAATTGAACTCTTGAATAAATACCTAGGCAATATAATTATACACGATTCATTTATATTTTGTTTTTTTCTTAATCTCTTACCCGATAAGCGTTTATTAGAAAAGAAATTTAATTTGCCTTTTCCAATCGAACATCTATAAATTCAGAAATGACATTTTATAGGATAAATTAAGCATAATAATTGATTAATAATGTTAGTTTGATCAAGAAAACATAATGAATTTAATTCTTCATTAAAATTGCTTTTTTCTATTAAATTTAGATACCTTGAATATGTATTGTCGATCATTATGTATGGTGTCTCGATTAGCAATAAATACGTCTTATATTGGAACCCGATGTCTTGTAGCATCATATAATAAACAGATACTATATTCACCTCAACAATCCAATCGTTACCTAGCTCAACAAACATTGAATCAACGACAACCAGGTCGTATTCGTCGATTTTTTCGTTGGTTTGGATGGGGAGCTGAACCAATGGTTTCCACACTTCCACCACCACCGCCACCGGCAACTACTATGCAACGAATAAAACGTTTTCTTTCTTTGTCACCATCGATTGAACGATTTTTACTTCGATCTCATATTATTGAAGATGAAGATTTAGCAAGATTACTGTCTAAAACAGCTGCTATTGCAATTTATGCTATGATTAGTGTTTCAACACTTGGTACACTCGGTGTTGATACAAAACCTCTATTAGCTGGTATTGGTATAACAGGTTTTACGATTGGTTTTGCGTTAAAAGAAGTAGCAACAAATTTTATCTCAGGAATATTTCTTGTTATTAATAAACCATTTGTTCGAGGATGTCGAATTAAAATTCATGGAAGTGGTGGTGGAATTGAAGGTAAAAGAAATATTTTAGTTTTAATTTTATTATTATTTTTCAAATTTCATTCAAAGGTCTTGTTCATTTAATTGATGTTCGTTATGTTCACTTGAAAACAAAAGATCGTAAGTTCTCCATTTTTTTAAAGTTTATTCTCTAATTAAAAGTAAATAGGTGGTATGGTAATGGTTCCATCAGCAATTGTTTATACAAATGCATTCACTGTGTTTCCAGCAGATGATGAGGCTAATGCTGGTTTTATGGATATGACAAAACCTCCGACAACTGATCCTACAAAACCATCGCAACTACCATCATCACCATCATCAAATGTTAATATATCAAAACAAAAAAATTTAAAAATGAAGTTTGAAGGCGAACCAGCAGGATCATTTAAAAAATCAGCATTAAGTGAAAAACTATAGGCTATTTTATTTATCTAAACTAGTTTTGTTCTTTGTATAATAAGATTTCTTTTCTTTCTTTTATAAATAACTGGAAAAACAAATTATTCTTTGTCATGCATGAATAAATATAATTAACGCTTTTCAATTACAAATTCTTAAGTCTTGTATATACAAAATTATTCTTTGTCTTTTAATGCAGGTACAATAATACTATCTTCTCGATCATAAATTGGTCGTTTAAGAGATTTTCTTCGATAATTTTCATTAAAAACTCCACGTGTCCATGCTAATGTTTCATTACAAACTTGCATAGCCCAATATGCTTTTCGTGGTTGAACAAGCCAATCAGGATCATTAACAAGTAAATCAAGTATCTGTGCAGCACTATACCAATCAACAAGTAATTTGCCATGTATTGGTAATTCTGTTTGACGTGAACGTATATATGATATAAGGGAATTTAATGTTGGATATTTTCTTGTACCTTTTGTTGTAACTTCAACAATAGATTCAATTGCACGTAGAAGTAATAATAAAGCTGTTTTTGTAATTGATGTGGCTAATTTAACTTGTTGTATATCATGTTTATTAAGTTCAAGCATATGATTAAATGTATGTTTTAATTCAATATATTTTTCACTTAAATTATCTAAATTAAAATTACCAGTTTTAGCAAATAAAAGTGCATTTTCAAATGATTGAACATGATCAACACTTGATTTTATTTGAATATCTTTTGTTGGAATATCAAATGCATATTGTCGTAATTGTTCATCTTTTTGTATTTCAGTATTATGTCGTAGTTGATCAGCAAGAGCAAGTACATGAGACCAACGACTACGTGCAAATTGTCCCGATTGATTAAAATTTGAAAAATTTTCTTTAGTCGAATTTGACGTTGAATCAGTCATGTTATTTTCTACAATATAATAAATGAAATATTAAATATTTTTTTTCCTCTATATTCATGTTAGTGATCAACCTTTGTTGATCGCCATTCGATGTAAAATTATTAACCAATGTATTATACTGCCTATATCTTTTTTTTCCTTCTTTTCTCTGCCTGGAAAATATTTGTCATCATTACATAGAATAGAACTACTGCTGTTCTGTTAGCCGATGCGTCAATGCACTTATTCTCCCTCCATTTCCCTTTTAGACGATGAGCCTAAAAAAAAAGAAGGAATACGACGCTATTCACGACTGCCAAAAACACAACACTTTTCTAGAGTCGTTTTTTTTTCTCTTGTCCTTTGTTTTTTTTATCATACTAGTCGACTATAGTAGCGAACAAAAGAAAATAGAGAATGAATTCTACTTTATAGAAAGAGAATCAAGAGGCTGTTTGCTATATATATTTATTTATTTATTATTAAAAGTAATAATGATTGTTAGATGTCTTCCTATAACAAATAATTATACTTTTCTTTTGTCATAAAAAAAATAATTAATGAATATTTACTTGAATTCTAATATGTGTAGACATACAACATTTGAATATCGATTAATTGTGAAATCTATCGCGATAAAAGCGCCAAAATTAAGGACTTTTTGCCGAGAAGTCTTGGTTCCGACAAAATAATCATTTCTTACTGGCGATATAATCGTCAATATTTTGAAGACATGGGTAGTGATATTTATAATTTTTAAGACATGAAATAACATAATAACTCTAAAGTACTATATATATCCATTAACAAAAACAAGAAAAACATCTTAAGTTGATCTTTGTATTGATAAAAGGAAAAGTACATAGTAATCAAAATTGCAAATAAGCGTTTTTTCTATTTCGATCGAGATGAACAAATCGACAACATTCTAATTGGATACCTTAAATGCTATTACATATCAATAAATTATTATCATGTAATAGATTTTGTCATTGAATACAATATCAAATAATCTGTTCGATGTATTCCGATCCACAAATAATTGAAGATTTTGTCTAATTTTTTTAGATAAGATCCACTAGAAATAATCGGAAGTTAAGTCTTGTCTTTGCTCAACAAGCATTCTTAATATTTCCTTAAGAACAATCATAATATTTTATTTAAGTGGCTATAACATATAAATAACCACTCATTCTCTCATATTTATATACAGAAAATTAGAAAAAAAAAATATATATATATGTGAAATTGAGATTCATTACAATTATCATTCATAATGTAGATAATATTTTTAGGAATGAAAAGGATAGTATAATAAAAGTTTGTCCAACACCAAGTAAACAACAAAAGAATGGTTTTATTTCTACGGAAGCAGCATAAAACATTGCTGATAGAAGTCCACCTAGGAAAAAAAAGAATAGTTTCGTATATTTTTTTATGTAATTATATTTACTAGTAAATGCTGATGGAATAATTGGTGTTATAATTCCTGCTAGAAGGATAAGTACTGAATACCAGCGTCCAATTTTATGACTTCGTAATGATCGAACAGCAATTATACTAGCAATTAAATGTACAACAATTGAAGTCATAAAACACCAAAGAAATATTTCAGCCCAAATGTCTGAATTAAAAAAAAGCGGAAATTTTAATTATATAATTAAATAAAATATATTTGAACTAACCTCCAAATTCAACTAAACGATGTTTAGGTGTTAATTTTAATGAATCAAGAAGACGTCGAAATGAAAGTTCTTTTATAAATTCTCGCATTTCATTCAAAAAAATTAATAATAAAATTGACTACATTTTCTTTCTTTCCTCTTTCCTTCATATGATTTGATCCGTACCTATCCAATCATAATGCATAACAACGTCATTTGAAAGGCGTTAACTAAGTAACATTTTTCAATAATGGTTATATAGTTCCTTCTTTAATAAACTGAATATTTTCATCATTATTAAATAATGCGTTTAAAATTTACATTTCCTCAAACACTTCGTCATAACGATCGTGTTGATTGTGTAGGATGGATGTCAGCAGATGATCTCTATTCAGTTGGAGAAGATCATGTTATATATAAATATAATATTATACAAAATGAATTAATTAAAATAAGTGAACTTCCACAAGATCTTTATCCACTTGATATGCATTGGTTACCAAAAGGAGCAAGTCTTAGTAGTACTGGTCCCGGTGGTTCAACTGCAAAACGAACTATTGGTTCAGATCTTTTTGTTTTAGCTACAAGTGATGGTAAAAAAACAACTGAATGATTTATATTATGTATTTATTTATTTTTTTCTTTAAAGGAAAATTTTGTTTTGTTAATAAAAATGGACGTATTGAAAAAACTGTTGAAGCACATCGTGGTGCAACTATTTGTGTTCGTTGGAGTCCAGATGGAAGTCAATTTGCAACAGGTAAAAATTTTTATGAATTATTTTATAGCTAAAAATTATTTAATATATTTAGGAGGAGAAGATGGACAAGTTAGAATTTGGGCACGTTCCGGAATGTTACGTTCGAATCTTGTTCAAGCAGGTATAATTAATAAATTTCGATTTGATTCTAAGAAAAATCGTCATTGAGTTTATTCCAAAGATAGAAACGAATCATGTCTCTCGTAGTTTGAATTGAAGGAACACAGAAATAAGTTAATATTATATGTCATATACAATTTATTTTAATAAATGTCAAAGCTGTCTCTTATGATAAAAATCCTAATTTTATTTTATATTCAAGGTTCAATAGATTTTAGTAATATTTTTGTTTTTCGTTTAGCTTCACCGATATTTTGCACATGTTGGTCAGCAGACAATGATGCAATACTTTATTGTACGGGCAAATATCTTGTTGTAAAACCACTTTCACCTAATGCAAAACAAAATTCGGTATAGACAAATGAAAATTATCTTCTAATGTTTTTTTTTGTTGATTATAGTGGAAAGCACATGATCAAATTATTCTTAAATGTGATTGGAATACAGTTAATAATTTAATCTTATCTGGTGGAGAAGATTGTCGATACAAGGTATATTTTAATTGATTGTTTTTTTTTGTTTCTCTCAAACTTAAAATAAATTTCTTTATTATGAGTAGGTTTGGGATACAGTTGGCCGACCATTGTATGCTAGTCAAGCATTTGAATATCCAATTACAAGTCTTGCTTGGGCACCGGATGGATCAAATTTTGCTGTTGGATCTTATAATACAATACGTTTATGTGATAGTGCTGGTGTATGTATATTTGAATGAAAATCTTCATTTTAATTTCTTCATGCACATTTTTAGTGGTGTCATTCGGTTGAAAAACCAAAAGATGGAAGTGTATTTGGTTTATCATGGTCAACGGATAGTACACAATTAGCCTGTGGTTGTGGAACTGGTCGAGTTGGAATAGGACATATTATTGAACGGTATTGATTGATAGCTTTGCCTTTTTTTGTTGTATGTAAATTTACTTGATATTTTTAGTCGTGTTGATTGGCGTCATTTAGAATTTGTTCTTACAGATTCTAAAGTTATAACTGTAAGCAATTGTGAAACAGAATTAAAAGATAAAATTGAACTTAAAGATCGTTTGGTTAAAATGTCTGTTGGTTTTGGATTTTTGATTGTTTTAACAAGTAGTCAAGGATTAATTTATAAGTAAAAACAAAAATTCTAAACGACTGAAATTTAATTGATAAAATTTATTTGTATTTATCTAGTTGCAAACAGTTTGGTCATCCAGCATTATTTGATTTACGCGATATGTCAATGAGTTTAATTGTTCAAGCAGAAAAGTATAAATATTTCTTAATTTCTTATGATTAAAAAAATTTGTTTTTAAGATATTTTCTTCTTTCGGATGGAGTTAATATTTCTGTTTATTCATATGAAGGTCGACTGGTTTCAACACCAAAATTAATGTCATCAAAACCAGATTCAGTTAATGTTAATACGGTTTCTATTAGTCCGGATACAATAGCGATTCGAGATGCAACCGATACTAAATGTATGTCAAACGCACAACACATAGAGCGTTCAAATAGAAATACTTAACTAGATTCGAATATGTTACAGGATAAGAAAAAAATTAACTTTCATCGTTATTCTTCTTATCTTCAGGAGTTGCGTTCAGGAAAAACATTTTTTAAGGTGCCTTATCGTTCTTTTCTTCTATCAGCACATATATGATTATGCATTGTTTGTTCTACTAATTCCGAACACTAAAATCCTTAGGCTCTCTTACTATTAATGTTATTCTTGCAAGTGCATTTTTTAATCAAATTCAATTTTTGAGCAGTCCATCGTTTATAAAAAAAAGCCGTATGCTTATGAATATTTTGTCAGTCAGTTGATTAAAGGATTGAGTAAATAAATATGATTCACTATGATGATCATGACGTTTTCTTTACTTCCTGCCTAAACGAATCGATTCTAGAATTTATTCACATTGAATCTAAATAGATTTTCAAGGTATTTCGCTCAAAGCTATACAATATTTTCTTAATTTTTTATTTAGCGATTGCATTTTTTGATATCAATGGTAAATCACTTGGTGATGGAAAACCTGTATCTCATGCTGTAAATAAAACGTTTTTTTTGGTCAAAAATAATAATTTCTATTTTTATTATAGTATGAAATAGTTCATTTGGCTCTTGATCAAACTGGTTCACCCAATGAACGTAAATTAGCATTTGCAGATAAATTTCAAGATTTATTTCTTATGCTTGTTCGTTCAACGGGACAAGGTCAACGATCAAATAGTCAACGCATCCGAAAACTTTGTAGATATTTATTAATAGTTTATTTTCAATTAAATCTTTATATATTTAGGCACAAATATTGGTAGTTTTCGATGGAATGATAAAAATGCTATGTTAGCAGGTTTTACAGATAATAAACTTCATATATGGCTCTATCCAAATGTTATATTTGTTGATTCAAGTTTAGTTGATAAGACAATACATCGGATAGAATCAGGGTAGAATGATTATTTCGAATAATTTAATCTTATGAGTATTTTTTTTTGTTAATCTTTATTAGTGATTTTGGTAAAAATCCATCAATCTCAGATTTTCTTAGTTGTCAAATAACAATACGTAAATCAACTGGTGCACTTATTCAATCTGCCTTACCAATTTACTATGAACTGTGCCTTGATTTATTAGAAGCAAATCGTGCCGAAGAAGCATTACAGTTATGTCAATATATTGCGGTAAAAAATCTTATTATTATTTTAAATGAAAAACAAAATAAAATATTTAGGACGATTCAATTTATGCATTGATTGCGGTTATTTCATTACATAATCGTGATTTTGATTCAGCAGAAAATGCATTTGCACAATTATCAAATGTAAATATTTATGAAACAAAAAAAGAATGATTTATTAAGATGAAATAAAACTATTTTTTTTTCAGACGGAAATGGTTTTCTGTTTACAAAATCTTCGTACAATAGCATCAAAAGAAGAACGTGAAGCTGAACTTGCCTTATTAGCTGGTGGAAATATACAAGAAGCCGAAAGTCATTATTTACAAGGAAATAAACCACTTCATGCGATAATGTTACATTTAAATGAGCATAATTGGGATAGGTTAGTAGAAATAAGAAATATTTAATCATTTTTACAAATTATTATAAACAAATTTGATTAATATGAAAAATTCTATTAGTTGTATGAATACTTTATATTAGATTCTTGCCAATCTATTTGCACAAAATATTATATTTATTCTTTCTTATTCTAATTTAACGATATTCTATGAAAGTATATTGAAATTTTGATTTAGTTAAGTCAAGTGTACAAATTGTGATTGATTATTAAATTGAAAAGAAGTACTTGTCTCTATGGTCTTATCTTTATAGAATTTTTGCAAAGATTCTTTTCTCTATGAATAGTGCCGGCACTAAGGAGAATGATCAATCATTCTATTCTGTTTTCAAGATGATCCATCACTGAAACATCAGAAACTTATTTAAAGTTCTTTTTAGCCTTTCCTCCAAAGAGCATATATATATATATATATACGAAAAATTCTCTATTTTGTAGAGCAATTGATATGACTCAACGACATCCACAATATTTAGAAATTGTTGTTGGTTATCGACAAAAATATCTAAAAGATTATGGTGGTGGAAAAAAAGAAACAAATGCAAAATATATTCAAGCAATGAAAAATGTTCGTTCATTGATTGTTTCTATTTTTATCTAATAATAATATGTAAACAATTTTTTAGGTTGATGTTGATTGGGATCAAATCGAAGCAAAATTAACAAAAGAATTAGGTGAAGATAGTGCTTTAAGAATAATTGAATAAAACGTCGATTGTTACTATGTTTATTTTATTATCAACATCTTATCATATATAATAGAACACACATGAGTGAATTTTTTTTGTCGATTGTATTTTTGTTATGAATTTGTTTGAAAAACCCCGAGAAATTCTCACAATTTATTGAAATAAAAAAAATTCAAACATAAAATTAAATCACGTATACATATATTTAATTTGTTTGCACAATAAAGTATTTAGAGAATCATCGTTTGTCGTTTCGAGTATCTAAAAACTTTTGTGAACTATCGTAATTCAATGAATACATAATTTTCATTGGATAGTAATTTAATTAGGCCTTTATTTGCATAGTTATGTTGATCAAAAAATCATGACATATGTAAAACTGATTTTTTTTTTCAGATCAAATGTCTTCATATTTTCAAAAACGTTATATAAAGAAATATCGATTTCACATTATAAACAGTTTTTTTTGTCTATATGAATTTTAAACAAATTTATTGAGAAAGAGATAATTCTCTACATTAACATAGTCATTATTAAAGCTATATCATATTTCTATCTTATTATGACTGACATGAAATATTTTATTTATCCTTTCAATTCAAGTTTATCAAAAAAAGACTGGAATTTTTTTGACATTAGTCATCAGTTAACTTCAGTACATTTTCTTTTCTATTTATAAATCTAATGCAATGAATTCAATTTCTTTCCATGTTGGTAGTTAATTATTTTTTCTAAATGTTTGGTTCAATCATATACCAATAATAATTTATTTTTAAACTAGATGGCAGTATTGATTTTTTAAACCAATGAAAAACTTGTTTTTTGTTTGTTTGTTCCGTTCTCTTTTTTTTTCTCTTTTTTTTTGCTACTTATTCGATGAATGAAGAACATTTTTTTTTTTAGTTTTCTCCGATTGAGAGTATTGTATTTTTATATGATTATTATCAAACACATCATTCGATCGATCATTCCTTTTTTTTCTCTCTGTGTCAATATAAGTCGTTTTTAAGTATACGGTGATGATCTGTCTCTGCTCTTTTTTGTTTCTATGTAAGTTATCTTGAATGTGTGCATGAACGAAAAGGCGGATCGAGCGCTCGTTTGTCTTTGATTGCTTTGCATGCTGAACTGAAAAAACAAATGTCAAATATAGCAGCTCTTCCTTTCTATCGCTTATGCGTCCGTTACGCACATACTCCGCCTATCTTTGTTAGCCTCCGGGTTTTTCTTTTGCTTCCATCACTCTTTCATATGCACTCTTCTCTCTCTCTCTTTCGTCATCATAGTTGTCGTATTCTATATCTTGTTGTATGTGTATATGTATGTAAACATCGAATGTCTTTTAAGATAAAAAGAAAGAAAGGAGCAAGCGAGAGGAAAACTGATCCTTTGGGGAAGTGTGAGCAATGACGTGGGAATGTCGGTATAGGAAGAAGAAGAAGGAGAAGAAGAGAAAAAAAGCAATGTCAATTTCTTGATTACTATACATAGACAGCAAATGCATTTATTCAGTCGCTGTATTTATCTTGTATTTAAAGAACAAGCAAAGATAGAAAATGCTTGTAAATGACGTTTGAAACTATTGATGAAAAATAAATAGAATTGGTCTCTTTTAAGATAAGGCAATTCCGAAAATGATTAGTTGAAAAAAAAAAAAAGAAAAAGAAACCCGCTTTTTTTATTTCTTATTTCTTCGTTCTTTCATCCTAGTAGACAATCAAGCTATAGATATATCGGAATGGTCTACGTTTACTAATCAGGTGCGTGTATGTGAAAAAAAATCGTATTAAAGCAAGAAGTCGGTTTGACATAATGATTAGCCGCTGAGAAAAAAAAAAATTTTTTTTTTTCATTCTTTCTTTGTGTATGTATCAAGGTCGATGATTTCTATCAAGATGAGTGCACATATATATGACTATTGCCGGAGTTTTAGACATTAATTTATTATTAAATGATCATCATCATATGCAATAAGAAGGACAAATAGAAGGAAAAGAAAGGTGTTTCTTTTTATATTTACATTTGTATTCCCCGTCTATATTTTCTTCTTCTTTATCTAGCTATGACTATTTCATTTTCTTAGTCGTTTTTCATCTCATCAACTATCTTTCTATTGAGAAAGATTTGCATCTAATCGATTAGCAATTCTTGTCATTCTTCCTGTATCTATTTTCTTTCAGTTCATCATTTGCAATGTGTATGACAAGACTAGACTATTAGAAATATTTTTCTCATCGAATTGTACTGACAATAGTTCGATTTTGTCATTATTCAAAATTGATGAGATGATCATCTAGCTTTTGTTGACAGTCGCACTTAGATTTTGCCCTTAATGAGTTCAACTGCATGCACGCATTAGTATGGAAAACCGACTATGCGCAATCAGCATCATGAAGGTAACTTATATAGTAATCGTAATAGTAGTAGTGATGATGGTTTTTCTTCTTTTTTTTTCAGTTCTCTTTGCTTTAGCTTGATGCGATGGCAGTAACTAATTCCCTACTCCCTTCGCTCTGTGTTTCTCTCATATTTTTTTTCTTCTTCTCCTCGTACAAAGCATCAGTTGCAAACGACAAGAAAAAAAAAGAAGAAGAAGAAGAAAAAAAACCAAGAGAACTAAGTTTATGCGTCTGAATGCTTGCGCGCGAGCACCTCGAACGCATGTTGTTTTTCCTATTCCTTATGCGAGATGTTATTCGAACTATGTAAAGTGAAAAAAGAGAAAAAGATGAAAATGATATGATGACAAAGAGAGAGAGAGAGGGAAAAAAAATCTAACTAGAAAATGATGAAAAACTAAATGGATAAACAATGAATATGTCGATATATTATTATTATTATTTAGTTTTTTTTTGGTAAGTTTATTCTTTTTTCTATTAGTCTTTGATTGTTATATTTTCAATTTGATAACCATCAAATTGAAAAGGAACATACATGAATTTCTTTTGTCATATTGTCATCAATGTTGGTCCTCTCGTCGTTTCGCGTCATCTAATTTAATTATTCTCTAGAGAGAGACAATAGAAAAGAGTGAGATGCATGCGCTCGTGCATTCTATGAAGCAACAATAACAACAAGCAGCACGGTAGCGGCAATAGCGACAGTCGCTAGAAGAGAGAGAGAAAGAATACAAGCTTGGTAAAGGAAGAGAGGGATTTCAATTAGTCGTACCAACAAGAGTTTTAAGGTAATAGTCTAGTTCGCTTGTATGCGAGTACGAGCGTCGATGATGACTGACGCGTTTTTTTTTTTCGAAGCCTTCATGCGAGCGGGCGTGCGTGCATGTAAGTATTGAGATAGACGATGACTATTTTTAATAGAAGAAGAGCTTATATATATATATATATATATATACACACATTTGTAATGTTCTATTATTTAACTTTTTATATTATATTTCATTGTAGAAAGACAAATAGAAAAAAGATATCAGTTTTTATAAATTTATATAAAGAGAATGTTTCTATCATCAATGACAATATATATGTCATATATTATCTTATTGATGAGATCATGTAACATGTAATAATGAAGATCACAAATTATGCTGCATGATTCCAGTGATGAAGATGAAGGAGGTGGAGGCGGAGCTGGTAAAAAATCGGTAAATAATCTTTTAAATAATTAAGAAGATCAAAAAAAAACTAGGAGAACATTTTAATATATATATTCATATTAGATACCTACAAAAGGTCCACAGACTTCATTAAATCGACCAGTAGTAAATCATGTCAATACTGGTTCACCGCTATTAACAAAATCCGATTACTCATCGTCGCCACAAAAAACTACAACAAGTCATTATTCACCACAACCTAATTTCCATGCATCACCGACGCCAACACAACGTATATTACCAACAATCCCATCAAATTCCTCAAATAATTCTCCATCGACATCATTACGTTCATCAACAAATACAAATCTTTTTCCTGAAACAACTCAACCATCCATGGTTTTCAATGCTGATACAACGAGTATTAAAAGTGATGATTCATCTAATCAATCTGAAGGACATTTACATCCATCACAACAACAACAAAGTTCAACACGTAATCAAGATACAAAAGCTAAACCAGCAAATACAAATAATTTATCAAAAACATTAGCAACAACAACAAGTTCATCAACAGGTACGACAACATCAAGTATGGGTATACCTATTGATCGTGCACCATCACCATCACCATCATTAATAAGTGAACGTGAACGTGAAGAAAATGAACGTGTTGAACGCGAATTAGAATTAAAACGTAAACGTTTACAAGTCTATGTATTTATTTGTCGTTGTGTTGCATGTCCATTTAATTCAAAGCAATCGTCAGATATGGCAAGAAAACATTTAAAAATTACTCTCGTACAATATGGTGTTATAAAAGAAAGATTTCTAACATTTTTAAATGGAAAAACTCGTATTGAAGCCGATGAAGGTAAATATATATAGATATTCGAATTGATTATTATTTTAATAAATTTAATTACTTAGCTTTTATAAATGCTGTTCGATCGTATTATGAAGTATTTCTTAAAAGTGAACGTGTTGGTAAAATGGTTCAATCAGGTGGTTGTTGTTCGGATGATTTTCGTGATGTATTTCGTATAAATATTGAAAAACGTGTACGAAGCTTACCTGATATTGATTCACTTAAAATAAGCAAAGATACGGTGCTCACTTTATGGATGTCAAAATTTGATGCTATTTATCGTGGTCAAGAACAAGATCAAGACAATTCAAATCGACGTTTATCGAAATCAAATTATATGTCAACATCAGCTGAATTAATTATGAGTAAAGAACAATTATATGATATGTTTCAAAATATTTTAACAATTAAAAAATTTGAACATCAGTAAGTTACAAACGAAATTATATTTATAGAATTCTTCTAGTCAATAAATCGATGAACTTCGGTTCAATTATGTAAAAATAACCTATGGGGATTTCGTTCTAAAAATAGATCTTAAATTTGAATATAAAAAATATTTTTTTTTTATTTTAGAATGATTTTCAATAGTGC